TGAATCAAACTACCCCCTCCAGGTGATCCTTCATATCTCTGGATTTTATATTTCAGCTTTCCCATCAACCCTGCCTGTGAAATGTCACAGAGGACTTAAGGTCATGTCAGATTCAGGGACCTGACACTCCCAAGCCTTAGACCCCAGTTTCTCTCTCTGAAAACCCAGCAGTGGCCTGGCCTCACAAAGAACATGTCAGTCTGCATGGCTTGGAAAATGCTTTCAAGATATGAGTTGTTGATTATGTTCAAGATGACAGAATGTGACATTAAAAAAATCCTGCCTGAGAGGCTCCCTGAGGAGTGAACAAAAGTAGAATTCGAGACTGTTCCAAGTCAAACAATGTGCTAGGTATTTTTTTTAATTATTATTATATTTAATCTTTAAATAAGTAATGCATGTCTATGGAACAAAACTCATACAAAAATTGAGCCATGTCAAGGCTTTTTCTTCTTGATACTGTTCTGCTCCTTGACTTTTTTCTGAAGATTATTCTATGTTGGTTCTTATTGGGCCAGCTTACTCTTTTTCTTCTGTGTTGATGTCCAGCTATCTGGTTACCTTCTGCTAGGGATGGAATATTTGTGTTCCTTTCAAATTCATGTTGAAATCCTAACCCCTAAGGTGATGCTATTGGGAGGTGGGGCCTTTGGAAGGTGATTAGGTCATGAAAGCAGAGTTCTCGTGAATGGGATTAGTGCCCTCATGAATAAGTCCTGAGAGAGCTCCCTTTACCCTTCTGTCATGTGAGGATACAGCAAAATGATGGTCATCCAGGAACCAGAAAATGGGCCTTCTCTGGTGTATTAGTCCGTTTTCATGCTGCTCATAAAGATATACCCGAGACTGGGTCATGTATAAAGAAAAAGAGGTTTAATGGACTCACAATTCCACGTGGCTGGGGAGGCCTTACGATCATGGCAGAGAGTGAAAGGCACATCTTACATGGTGGCAGACAAGAGAGAACAAGAGCCAAATGCAAGGGTTTCCCCTTATAAAACCATCAGATCTGCTGAGACTTACTCACTACCACGAGAACAGTATGGGGGAAACCATCCCCATGTCAATTATCTCCCACTGGGTCCCTCCCACAATATGTGGGAATTATGGGAGCTACGATTCAAGATGAGATTTGGGTGGGGACACAGCCAAATCCTATCAACCAGACACCAAATCTATCTGGCACCTTGATCTTGGACTTCCCAGTCTCCAGAGCTGTGAGGAATAAATTTCTGTGGTTTACAAGCCACCCAGTCTATGGGAGTTTGTTACAGTAGTCAGAACAGACTGAAATGTCCTCCAAGGAGGTGACAACTGTCACAATCTTCTTGTGTCCTTCTCCTGAATGCAAATACGGTGAACATAAAAATCAGCTTCCTATAGATACTGTTCTGCTCCTTGACTTTTTTGCTTGAAGATTGTTCTACATCGGTTTTTATAGGGCCGACTTCCTCTTTTTAACTGCTGGAGAAATTTCATTGGAGAAAGGTGTCATGTTTTATTTAATTGACCCTCCATGAGTAGACTTTTCCATTGTTCTTAATCTTTTTGCACTAGGTCAGCAGTTCTCAACTGGAGCTGATTTTGCACCCACCTGCCCCAGGAGATATTTGGCAGTGCCCAGGAAGATTTTTGATTGTTATGCCGGGGAGGTGGGTGCTGCTCACTAGTGGGTGGAGGCCAGGGATGCTGCAGAACATCCCATAGTGCACAGGATGGCCCCCACGACAGAGGATTTTCCCACCCCAGATGTCAGCAGGGCTGAGGCTGAGAAGCCTGTGCTAGTGTTATCTTCAGGCTGCAGCTTGCAGGTGAGAAGTCTGGAGGGAGTGAGATGTCAAGTCCAAAGGCAGGGACAGGAGGAAATGCGTACGCTGGGAGAACACCGCCCTTTGCAGGAAGGAGTAGGAAAAGGGGTCGAGCTCATACCCCGCAGGGTCTAGGGGAGACAGGTCTGAATGGGTACCACCCAGAGAGAGGAGGAGCTCCCCTTCTCCCTTTTGTGCCCATTTATGCCTCTAGATTCTGCCTGGTAACTCCAGAATAGTGGGTAGGAGATGCAATTATCCTCAACAAACCAAACGCCGTCATTAAACAGAATCTCAAAGCTCTTAATTACTAGTATATTAGCATATTACGAATGAGGAAACAGCGTTTAGTATATAGCAGCAGAAGCTTTGGGAAGAAATGCCTATTTATACCACTAATTAAGAGAATATTGTGGAAGAGTTAGAGAATTAATTGTACTTCAGTACATCTTTATAAGGAAGATAATTGGATGAAGATTGTTTCTTCCTTCCCACATCACAATATTTGCAGGCAGATGGCATTGTTCGTGCTGAGAAACTGTTGTGGTATCAACACAAACCATTTTCCCCCTCAAAAATATTTAATACATTAATTGGCCTCCTCTGCAGAATATTATTATGATTACTTACATCTTTATGGTTTTCAAACCCATCCATGTGCCTGGTCCTGTGGCGTTCTGGGGGTGGCCAGGTACTATTATTCCCTTTTTACAGGGGATAAAACAGCAAGGAGAGACTTAAGTGACTTACAAGAGGCCAGGAGTTTCAAACAATCACAACAGGATCTGAACCCAGGCCCCCAGCACTAAAATGTCTACTTCTGGTCCATGGATGATTCTTCATTCTCTCTGTAACCTGCATGATCTGGTGCCTCAGTGTGGATGTGTGCAAAGTGTTTACTTGCTCTGTGTGTGTGTGTGTGTGTGTGTGTATGTGTGTGTGTGTGTATGGGGGAGTTCCATATTGAAGTGAGAAAAGCAGGACCTTTGTGGTCCAGGAGTCCTGGGTTCAAATCCCAGTTCTGCCACTTACTGCTGTGTGACTTTGAGCAAGTGAAATAATCTCTTTCGACTTGAGTTTCCTCATCTATAAAAGAAAGTCTGTGATTCTTATTTCCTGGGGCTGCTGTTAGGATGAAGAGACATGATTCCTCAGGTGCTCAGCACAGTGCCTGCCTGGTACGAGGCGGCTTGTGGTTGGTACTGTTCATCCTGCCGGGATCTGCCCACTCATCAAACACTTCTGATTGTATCCAGGGTTTCACATGCGCACATACATCAGCCCCAGCCACATGTGGCTTCCATTGCCACAGTTTCTGATGCCTCCCCCGAGACAAGCCTCTAAACCCTGCTGCTCTGCGCGAGCTTGGGAGCAGGTCCCTTTGGTCACCCAGCCACCAGTGCTTTCTAAGCTCATGGTGACCGATCAGCACAGCAGCTAGAGGCAATGGTTCCTGACCAATGCCTACCAAGAATCACGCCTTCTCTTGGGATCCCGGGGTCACACGGTGGCAGTGCTAAGTCATCTCGCCTTGACATAGACTCTCCCAGGAGCCCCTACCGGGTGATGGTTCTGTTCTGACTAGCATCCCTTCCACTCTATGTTGGTAACTGAGCCTTAGCTTTACTTTGACAAGTGACCAGTTCTCCACTCTCAGACCCTGTGGTTCAAAAAGGACTGGCTCCAGACCCCTGGTGCTGAGAAGGGATGTGTGACCCAGGCCTGACGTAGGAGAACGCACGCTCCTCTGGTCACAGAGAGTGCTTTAGGTATTGGCATGTGACTCAAGTCAGGCTGCTCAGAGCCAATCCTAGGACTTCTGCAGGCATTATTAGACAAGAGATGATCTTTCTGCTGTCTGTGCTCAGCAGGTAGGATGTACACCTAGGACTGCAGAGGCCATTTTGCTAGGACACGGGGGATGCCCTCTAAGAATGAAGCCAGTGCAGAGGAAGACAGAGACCAGAGATGGTCAGAGACAAATTCCTGATTACATCATGAGTACCTGGATCCATCCATGCCTGAAGATGGAGTCTCCATCATTTGCAGCCAAATGAGCCCCAAGGCTGCCCTTGACATTGAAGGTCCTTTCAACTTCTCCTCCCGTCCACCACAAGTGCTGGGATTTGCCTGAATCCTGTTAATGGGCTGACTGCAGGTTCTTTTACAGGAAGCCCCTAAGAAAGTAGACACCTTCAAAGAGAGGAAAGAAAAAGCGTCTCCTAATTTTCCATGCTAGGTCTCCAGCCTGGCCAAGACTGCCTTATATTTTATCAGGCTGCTTTCCCCATCTATTTTCCACTGGCCATTTTCAAGAGGAAATGACAGAGATTACTTTTTCATGATGGCTGCCTTTTGTAACCCAGCAGATGTTTAATTAAATTTTTATTATCTCCTAAAGTTAACAGAGAAATTCATCTATTGTGGCAGCACAAGGCCCCATCTTTGAAACTGCCCTTTTATGAATGGAGAATTCGACCATGTGCCAAAGCCCAGCGTCTTTCCCAGGCATCTCTGTGGACAGCACAGGCGAGGATTTGACAGCCCCTCGTTCAGCTTGGATGCAACCTCCTTTGTGGCGCTTCTCTTGAAACCCCACACAACTCTCCCCGTGCTGGTTGCCTTCCTCCCTCACTGCGCCCTGCACCAAGGCGTCTGTCAGCACCTCTGACACTTTATGCTGTGACTTGTTTACCCGCCTCTCTTTCTAAGCTCCTTGAGGACAGCAATTCTGTTTTCTTTATACTAGAGTAGATGGGTATTTTGGCCTGGTTTTTAATTCATGGATATATTCCCACAGCTTTAAACAGTGCCCAGCACGTAGTACATGCTCAATAAATGTTTATTAAATGCAATTTCTGAATCCCACACACGTTGCCATCCTTAGCACAGGAGAAGGACTTGGGGCCTGCAAGAATGAAGCAGGGGGTTAGATACCTCCTTTTACATGATGTGTTGATGACACATTGCAGGCTTGTATCAAAATATCTCATGTACTCCATAAACAAACCTACTATGTGCCCATGAAAATTAAAATTTAAAATAAAAAAGGATAAAGGAGGAAGGAAAGTTGGTTCTCAGCTCCCTCAGTATCACTGCTCTCTAGGGCTCAGCCTAGAGAGGTGGGTACTTCTGCCTCCTTTTATCCGATCAGATACCAACCGCCTTTCTTCATATTCATTCATTTTCCAGATCCCCTGCATACTTACTGGTGCCTATGCGGTGTTAGGTGTTGATGGATGAGCATGTACAGATCGTGCTTGAAACTCACGTGCTCTTCAGCACCGTGCCATGAGGAAAGTCTCTTCACGCCCATTTTACGGATGTAGAATCCAAGACGCTGAGGAGTAAGTCAGAGGTCGCCTGGTGTGAGAGGTGAAGTTTAGATGAACACTGTTTTGTTTTCCCTTAGTTGTTGTATACATGCATCTTAGCTACCAGCTACTGTAGGAAAGGCAGGATAGCTATCCTGTATTCTCAAAGAAAGACTTGTCATAGGGCCCCAGTGGGTTCTCGGTCAAGGTGCAGCTAAAACCTCATTGTTGCTCTGCCTTTTTCCCTGTGAGGGATACCCTGTCATCTCACCTTTTGGGGGGACATTAATCCCTCTGTTTCTTCCTGGTCTTCATTCTGAACCACTACGCCCCTAGCAAACACCGTTAGCTCTTCCTGACTTCAGGATGGACTGAGTAACTGATGCCAGAGACAGAGACGTTCCCAACACTGCCTAGAATGAAGTCACTTCTAACGGAGCGAATGCAAACACAATGTATGGATATTACACACACAGAGCCACCTGACAGTGCTAAATAATTCAGAGCGGACGCCGGCAGCTCAGTGCCTTTTAATAGTGAATAATTCAAGGACTCGTGGCATCCCTCCTGCTGGTCCAGCGGTACATCTGCCTGCATCGGGAGAGAAGCAGGAGTCCTACATTAACAAATGTGAGGGCCATTACAACCAGAACATTCTCCCCCATGGATGTTTACAGAGTGCAGTGGGAAACATAATTTGCAATTATTCTTTGATTTAGATGCTGACTGATCAGGCTTTCAGCGTGCTGGCTTCTGTTACGTACATATATTTTTGAGACGGGAGTTTCACTCTGTCGCTCAGGTTGGCATGCAGTGGCACAACCCAGCTCACTGCAACCTCTGCCTCCTGGGTTCAAGCAATTCTCCTGCCTCAGCCTCCCAAGTAGCTGGGACTACAGGTGCCCAACACTACGTCCAGCTAATTTTTGTATTTTTAGTAGAGATAGATTTTTACCATGTTGGCCAGGCTGGTCTCAAACTCCTGACCTGAAGTGATCCACCTGCTTTGGCCTCCCAAAGTGCTGGGATTACAGGTGTGAGCCACCGAGCCTGGCCGGTTCCATATTTTTTAAAACAAGAGAAAGAAGAAAACAATTTCCCCAGACATCCACTGTGATTAAAGACCAGCAAGTGTGCAGTTATGTACATATATGTTTGTTAACAATTTAAGTCACCCTTGGCCTACTGTTCAAATTGAGCTGTGGGCTTGAGAGCAGGGGGCGTCCTGAATGGCTTGGCATCCTGGCGTGTGTTCTATCTTGCTAGCTATGCAACTCTGGGCAAGTGATGACACTTTCTTGTTCCTCCGTTTCCTCATCTGCCAAGTGGGGTCAATAATAGTTCCTATTTCATAGGATTGTCATGAGGACCCCATGGAAATCTACCTGTAAAAGATTTAGCACGGGGTGGGGCAGGTGGAAGCTGCTCCCTAAATAGAAACCCATCGCTAACAGTAAATCAGAGTCCTCACTTTACTAATGAGTCTACTGAGACTCAGAGAAGGATGTAAGCCCAAGGTCACACAGCCACAACTAGCAAGAAGAGGACAAAGGTCAGGTGCTCTGTTTCCTATCTGAGTGAATTTATGGCAGAAGGAGTAACAGCCCACCCCAGGAGCTGGGGGTGTAGCCCAAAGATCCTTTGTGACTGAAAAATTCTTTGGGATATTAAGCTTTATCAGACAGAATTTGAATTTCTCGATGTTTTCATGTAATATGACGGTAATTACTTTTACCCAATGTTGTTTCTTTTGCTCCCACTCAGTGCCTGGCACTGGAAACACAGCAGTGAACAAGAGGAGGTTTCTGCTCCCGCGGTAACTACCAACAAGCAAACCAATGAGCAGATCATTTCACTCCCGGTAAGTGCGAGGGAAACTAACACAGGTGAGGAGCTGGACGGCAATCCGTTTGGGTGGGGGTGTCAAGGAAAGCGTCTGTGAGGAGGTGGGACAGAAATTGTGAGGAGCTGGCCATGCGGCAAGCTGGCACCTGGGCTGAACCATCAGCCTGTGCAAAGGCCCTGGGTGGGGCAAACGGAATGCCTTACTTTTTCTTCTCAAAGTGCGGAGTACTTTTCAGGGTTATGTTAGTTTCCTGGAAACTACTGCTGCTGCTGTAGCAGACGGCCACACATAGGGCGGCCTGCAAAAGTCGGAATTTCTTTTCTGGCAGCTCTGGAGGACAGGGCATGAAATCAGGGCATCAGCAGGGCCCTGGTCCCCCTGGAGGCTCCAGGAGAAGGTCCATTCTCTGCCTCTTCCAACTCTGGTGGCTGCTGTCACACCAACCTCACCTCCTCTCTGTTAGTCTCCCTCTGCCTTTCCTTCTCTCCCTCCCTCCCTCCCTTCCCTCCCTCTCTCTCTCTCTCCTTCCCTTCCCCTTCCCCTTCCCCTTTCCTTTCCTTTCCTCTTCTTTTCTTTTCACGGAGTCTCACTCTGTCACCCAGGCTGGAGTACAGTGATGAAATCGTAGCTCACTATAGCCTCAAAGCCCTGGGCTCAAGTGATCCTCCTGCTTCAGCCTCCCGAGTAGCTGGGACTACAGGTGTGCACCGCCATACCCAGTTACCTTTTTATTTTTTGTAGACATGGGAGTCTTGCCTAGGCTGGTCTTGAACTCCTGGGCTCAAGTGATCCTTCTGCTTCAGCTACCCCAAATGCCGGGATTACAGGCATGAGCCACCATGCCTGGCTGATTTTATTTTATTTTATTTTTTTGAGATGAGTTTTGCTCTTGTTGCCCAGGCTGGAGTGCAATGGTATGATCTCAGATCACTGTAACATTTGCCTCCTGGGTTCAAGCGATTCTCCTGCCTCAGCCTCCCAAGTAGCTTGGATTACAGGCACCCGCTACAACACTGGCTAATTTTTATATTTTTAGTAAAGACAGTGTTTCACCATGTTCGCCAGGCTGGTCTCAAACTCCTGACCTCAGGTGATCCACGTGCCTCAGCCTCCTAAAGTGCTGGGATTACGTGCCTGAGCCACCGCACCCTGCCCCTGGCTAATTTTTTTTGTAGAGATGGGAGTCTCACCCAGGCTGGTCTTGAATTCCTGGCCTCAAGCAATCCTCCCACCTTGACCTTCCAAAGTCCTGGGATTATAGAGGAGAGTTACTGCACCCGGCCTGGCTCACTCTAGTAAGGACACTTGTTATTGGATATAGGACCCACCCAGAGAATCCAGGATAAGCACCTCCACTCAGAATACTTAAGTCACTCCCACATTTTCCCATGTAAGGTAACATCTGCTCTTTACCACACAGGTAATTTTGCCAGGTCCCAGGGAGTGGGACATGGACGTGTCTTTTGGGGCCACCAGCCAATCCACTGTAATGGCTGAGGAAGATGTGCTAGGTTCTGGACACTAAAAGCAACAATAAAAGGGCAAAACTTGTCCTCTGTTTTGAGTTGAACTTGCAAGCACAGTATCCAGTTATGTTAGACATGGCTGACAGTTTTGGCTCTAAATAAATATTTAGAATGAGACCTAAATATGCCGCGGGGGACCCTGCAATGCAGGCTGAAATATGGATGCTTAACTCCAAAGTCCCCTCAGCCTGCACTTTCTCTGGTCCTGTTTTGATTTACTGAGGACTCTGGTGGACACTCTGCTAAACATAAACGTTCCCTGGGGAGCTTGTTAAGTGCGTGTTCTTGGGTGGCCCCCTGGGAGTTCCAATTGGACATGTCTGGGAGAGGCCCAGAAATCTGCATGTTAGACAAGCATACCAGGTGATTCTGGTTCAGATGCAGGTGGTCTGAGAACGGCAGGTGGAGAAACGCTGATGTCAGCGGGTGGGTGATGCATGTTTAACTATCAGACAGTGGTGGTGGAAAAAAATTCTGGCCGCATACTGCATTTGAGGCAGACATAATTGAAATAACAACATATGCATTCACAAGAAGGCTCAGGTTGGCCACGTGTGGTGGGTCACGCTTGTAATCGAGCACTTTGGGAGGCTGAGGTGGGAGGATCACTTGAGTCCAGGAGTTAGAGACCAGTCAGGTCAAAATGGCAAAACCCCGTCTCTACAAACAATACAAAAATTAGAATGAGCGTGGTGGCACACGCCCGTAATCCCAGCACTTTGGGAGGCTGAGGTAGGCAGATCATTTGAGGTCAGGAGATGAAGACCATCCTGGCCAACATGGTGAATCCCCATCTCTAGTAAAAGTACAAAACTTAGCTGGGCATAGTGGCAGAGACCTGTAATCCCAGCTACTTGAGAGGCTGAGGCAGGAGAATCGCTTGAACCCGGGAGGTGGAGATTGCAGTGAGCCGAGATCATGCCATGGCATTCCAGCCTGGGCACTGGAGTGAGACTCCATCTCAAAAAAAAAAAAAAAAAAAAAATACAAAAATTGACCAGCCATGGTGACATGTGCTTGTAGCCCCAGCTACTTGGGAGCCTGAGGTTGGAGGATCACTTAAGCCTGGGAGGTCAAGGTTGCAGTGAGCCATAATTGTACCACTGCACTCCAGTCTGGGTGACAGCGGGAGATCCTGCCTCAAAGATAAATGAAAGAAAGAAAAACAGAAAAGAAAGAAAGATAGAGAGAGAAGAAGGAAAAGAGAGAGAGAGCGCACAAGCAAGCTCTGGTTGTCTGGAATGATCTTGTACAATATGGAGCCCTTGGCTGGTGAGATGTACCCTATGTAGGCTTCATAAGGTTGGAGAGAGCTTTGGGGAAGGGGCCCAGGCGCCCTGGGTTAGGAGTCTGAACCGCTCTGGCTCTCACCTCCACTCTCACCTCACTGGACCCAGGATCTTGGGCAGGCCACTCTGCTCTTTGAGCCTCAGTCTCTCCCTCTGTCAACAGGGCTATCTAGACTTGCCTTACCCAGTTCACAAACACGCCTTGAACAGTCATTGCCACTATTTAGAAGTTAGAAATCCCAAGAGTATCTGGACTTCGATCTTCTCTGAGAGCTGCTGAGTGAGGCTGAGTGGGTGTTTTTTAAAGGCTGTCACTGGTGGTATGCTGGAGGGGCCCCAAGGTCACCCTCAGGACTGATGGTTCAGTAGGAAGCCTCACCAGGCCTCAGCACAGGGTCATCCTCC